TGAATCTGGTCTTCCCAGTAATTTATATATCATAAATTACAAATGATAAATCACAAAGGGAAAAATTACTCGCCAGCAAAACAAATGGTTCATCTTACCTTGTAATAAAACGGCGAAATAGACCAGCAGTTTTATCCATTTCACAGAAGACAACATATAGCCCTGTACAATGTAAAAATTACTATAATTTTGTACGATAATTTTCAAATTATTATTATTATTATTACAATCATTAACATCTTCCAAAACGGCTTTTATAATGCACTTTGTTATACGTCTTATACAGTAATTACTATGTGAATTTTAGAAAAGAATATATTAAAATTTGTACATTTTGGGTTTTGGTCACAATATTCGAAACTATTATTATATATATTCTTTGTTTGTAATTATTGTAGAATTGTTGTAGCATGGAAAATTGAACAGTAACTCTTCTTTTGAGTCTTAAACTATCTCTAAACTCGATCAATACATTAAAATAGCCGTTTTTTGTTTTACCTGCCGTCAACTGAAATACTAAAATTATGTCATCGCAAACAAAGAATAGAGGATATTCCACGGCGGTGCGAAGATATTAATTTTACCTTCGAGTGGCGAAAACAATATTGTTTTCACCATGAGGAGATAAATTTCATATCTTCAAGCCACCGTGTAATGTTCTTTTTATTATATAGTCGGTAGTAAACATAACAAAGAAAATGAACACGTGATCGATATCTTCACTCACGTAAAAATCTCACAACTTGTCAACAAGATGTGTTCGCAACAGGTTTGTAACAAGCTTGTCAACAAGTTTTAACAATGTTGTTATTGCTACAAGCTTCTCACTCACAACTTGTTCACATGACGATAACAAATTGTTGGAACAACTTGTAACAAGTCTGTTGAACTCAACAACCTTCCCACCGGGCACACGACGTTGTTTCAACGTTGAAATTTGGCAGAAAAAGGTTGCGAGGTCGACAACCTAATATCTACGTTGCTCTGACGTTGTTTTACAAACATTGGTTCAACAGCAGCCAACAGACGTTGAATTAACGTTCATTCATGGTTAAATGTACGACGTCGATTTGTGAACCAATCTCAACGTTGTTTTAACGTGGATTCAACGTTGAATTGTGGTTGACGAGATTGGCAACCTAATTTCAACGTTGTTTCAACGTCGAAACAGTAACGTCGATCCAATTTGCATAGTCAACCCTTTTTCAACGTCTATCCAACGTCTGGAAGGTCATTTACAACGTTGATTCAATGTTGGATAAACGTCATTTTGCCCGCTGGGTTGTAGCAAGTTGTCAACAAGCCGTTGATAACTTGTCAACAAGCTGGGAACAAGCAGTGCGGCGAACACATCCTGTTGACAGGTTGTTGGAACAGCATTGCTAACAAGTTGTTACAAATCTGTTCACAAGTTGTCGACAAGTTGTGTTCGCACTGCTTGTTCCCAGTTGTTTTGACAAGTTTGGAACAAGCTGTTAACAACTTGTAACAAGCTTGATGGAATTGTCAGACTTGGTACAAGGTTGTTCTAACAAGTCTGATGCAGTCATGACATAACAAGAATGTTACAAGGTTGACGACACAAGGTTATAACAATATTGCTATATCATAACTGTATCGGACTTGTTGGAACAACCTTGTAACAAGTCCGATAATATCAACAAGGTTGTAACAAGTTGTTAACAGCTTGTTCCAAACTTGTTGACAACTTGGGACAAGCAGTGCAGACACATGCAACTTGTTGACGGCTTGTTGACAGACTTGCTACAAGATGTGAGATTTTTACGCGTGTAGATATGGAAAATATCTCACTGTGTATTTTTCGATATCTCAATGTCTACTATACTTATAACTTAAAAAAAAAGGTACGAACTACGAACATGCAGTAGCAAATTCACCAAAAGATGTCCTGTGACCTTAAATCCGGATTTATTAGAGACCTTCTTTTCAGCTATTTTTTGCAAAATTGGGTGATATACAATGTCATTTTCCCGAAAGGTAGAGAAAAATATCCAACTCGAAGTCCAATTCAAACTCGAATCAAACTCGATGTTTACTTACTTAACTCCCCATTTGTCGCAGCTAGTTAAAATAACGGTCATTGTTTATGGCGCGGGGGGTGGGGTGGCACCGAAGAGAAAAGGGTTGGGTAAACAAAATTTTGAGTGAGTAAAAGGTTGGGTAAATGAAAAACAAAACAACTCAAGGGTTGGGTAACATTGTATTGTCATTTCCAAAGCATGACTCGTTCAAATATTGAAGACAAAAAAGCAATGTCAACAGTCATATGTCAATACAATATGTAAATCGACCAGAGTCACTATCTTGATCATTTTCCAATTTGTCAGGAGGCAAATGGTGTCTCCAAAGAAAGTACATTTGCAGACAACATGAAATTTTACACTTCGAGAAAATTGCACAAGCTGTTAGCAAACTCATGTCACAGAAATAGTAAAGACCATTTATAAAATAACATGCATATAGCGCGTTCTCTGATTGGTCGAAACCCGTGTTTGGATCAGGCCATCCAAACACGGAAATTTAAAGTGAAAGTTTTTGAAAGTTAAATTTTAACACGGAAAGTTGTTATTTTATAAAACAATTACTTTATGGTTTCCGTGTTTGGATGGCCTGATCCAAACACTTGGGAATGTTGCTCGAGTTAAGAAAAGCGCGCAAAATCACTCGCCTTCGTCTCGCGCTTTTCTTAACTTTCGCAACATTCCCGCGTGTTTGGATCAGGCCATCCAAACACGGAAACCATAAAGTAATTGTAGAGTATGACAAATGAATGGCATCCTTTTGTAAAGTTTTTGGCCAGGGGTGGGTATTTGTTTTTTAATTGATATTCGAGGTTGGGTAAGGAAAAATTCTGATTTTTTAATGATTGGATCAGCAAAATTATTAGCATGAAAAACATTTCTCTTCGGTACAACACCGCCGCCAAAAATAATAACCGGTCCCTAAATTAAATAAAGAACACACTCCGAAAAGGAAGCGTTTATAATAAAGCCGTTTCTTCAAAGTGCAGCTCTGCTGTCATGGTGAATTTGAGACTGCATAAAAAATTCATGAGTTCATGAAAGTTCTTTGTTATATTTCTTTTTTTATGTTCCTGTTACTCTTTGTAATTATAATTTTATATTCTGCGTATTTTGTTAAAAACATGACACTTGTCATACCGCAATGAAAATTTTGCCAAAATGAAAATATTGCACTATATTAACGAAAACAACTGTTCTGTATTGACAACTAAGCTAAAGCGTCTGTCAGACGAGGGTGAAAGTTGATAAGAGGTGGAACTTCCGCTCGTGTTTCGCCGCCATTTCTCATAGACTCTCGTGCACTCTCGTCCACTTTCATCGACTTTGGACTGCTTCAAATTTTGACGAGAGCTGACGAGAGTTTTGGCTACGCGTGCGGTAATATCCAGTTAACTTTCATGCAAACTCTCGTTTCTCAACTCTCATCAACTCCCAAACAAGTCTTGTTCTCGTTTGACTTAGTTGAGAAAACTCTCATGCCGATGCAAGCTCTTGCTTCTCAACTCTCATCAACTCTCATGCAACTCTTGTTCTCGTTTGACCGGGGCATGAGAGTTGAGAAAACTCTCATGCAAACTCTCGCTTCTCAACTCTCTCATGCAACTCTTGTTCTCGTTTGACTGGGGCATGAGAGTTGAGAAAACTCTCATGGAAACTCTCGCTTCTCAACTCTCATGCAGCTCTTGTTCTCGTTTAACTGGGGCATGAGAGTTGAGAGAACTCTCATGCAAACTCTCGCTTCACAACTCTCATGCAACTCTTGTTCTCGTTTGACTGGGGCATGAGAGTTGAGAAAACTCTCATGCAAACTCTCGCTTCTCAACTCTCATGCAACTCTTGTTCTCGCTTGACTGGGGCATGAGAGTTGAGAAAACTCTCATGCAAACTCTCGCTTCTCAACTCTCATTCTCGTTTGACCAAGAATTAATTAAACTATTTATTTATTTGTACTGGATAGCTGTATCATTCTAAACTGTTCTCTCCAGACGGTTCAGTGTATTGATCCAGTGCTACCACAGGAGGAAACCTAAACTAAACTAACTTTATTTATACTGGATAACTCTATCAGTTTTAAATTGTTCTTCCTAGAGGACCAGTAAGGATCATCTCTTATTAAATTTCCGCGTTGTCGCTACGTTATTGTTCTTCACACGATTCTTCAAATAGTAAAAATAAAATACAACGGGAAGGTCCTAGTGTAAATTAAGTTAGTTTAGTTCAGGTTTCCTCCTGTATAGCAACACTGGATCAATAAGAGATGACTCTTACTGGACCTCAAGGAAGAACAGTTTAGAACTGATAGAGCTATCCAGTATAAATAACGTTAATTTAGTTTAGGTTTCCTCCTGTAGCAACACTGGATCAATAAGAGATGACTGTTACTGGACCTCAAGGAAGAACAGTTTGGAACTGATAGAGCTATCCAGTATAAATAAAGTTAGTTTAGTTTAGGTTTTCTCCTGTAATAAAACTGGATCAATAAGACATAATCCTTACTGGACCTCCTAGGGAGAACAGTTTAGATCTGATAGAACTATTCATATAAATACAGTTAGTTTAGCTCACGTTTCCTCCTGTAGTAACACTGGATTAATAATTTCGTGAGCCCTGGACAATAAAGAAGCTAACTCATTGTTTTAAATTGTTATAATTACTAAAATTGGAATATGTTTTCTATCACATTATCACATAATGGTAGTTTATTGAGGTGTTTACAATCGAAGTGGATTAGTTTATCAATCTTATCATCTTAATTATATGTCGTTTAGTTGAAGTTTTCATTTTTTAAGCTGCTAAGCCACTGCTCTACCTGCTGAGCTATCGAATATAATGTATAGTACAGAGGAATTATAGAGAATATACTGTATAAGCATAAAAGCCTTACCTTTATACTTTAAAAGTATATGGTGACCGAGCCAAACCAAAACAAAGTGGAATATTCCGTATCAATTGTACCCGATATTGGCCACAACGAGTCTTCTATCAACTTTAATCCAATTCTGTCAAATTCATGTATCGTTTCTTGTTTATATACAAGTGCTAGTTTTGATGAATTCGCTTCGTAGAGACCCAGTATAGTGATTGAGTCGTTAGACTTGTTCAACGTTTCACTGTCCAGAATGCAGGATGTGGCCTTTGGGCTGTTTCTGAAAGGTCTTTAAGTATCATATAGGATTTCCTGGTTTTGTCATTTTTAATGAGTTGATTAAAATAATGACTGTCTTACAAATATTGTCTGTCTAACGGCCCGTTTACAATTGCAATTTTGGCTGCGATTTTTAGTGCGATTTTGTGAACGAGGGGATGGGTTATGAATGATGAGATGAGGGTGCACATACTCAGAACATAATTTTTTACATGCATCAGAAGAAAATCGCAGCATAAATGGACCATTTGAATTATAGACTAAATTTTGATCTAGACAAAAATTTCATCACAGCTTGAAAGAGCATTACAAAATTAGTAATATTCCAAAGTTTCGTTGCGAAATGTTGTAAAATGCGGATAATATAGCCTTGTGAAATTTGCAATTTTCAGTCATTTTGTATTACAAACAGGAAATTGATGCCCAACACCCGATTGGGCTGTCAATTTTCCGTGCGTGATACAAAATGACTAGTGAAAAACGGCAAACTTCGCAAGGCTATATTATCCGCATTTTACAACATTTCGTAACGAAACTTTGGAATATTACTAATTTTGTGATGCTCTTTCAAGATGTGATGAAATTTTTGTCTACACTTGTCTAGATCAAAATTTAGTCTTTTATGCAAATGGTCCATTGCAAGTGGTTTCGGGCCTTGAGACTTAAGGAAGAGTTTGTTTGTCCTGTCATCATATATAATGTAATTTGGGAATGGAGTTTTTTCGAGTTCAATTTTTATACATTTATAATGTATAAAAATTCCACTCGAAATATAAATCTACAAATCCGTTCAAAATGAGAAAGTTTTTAAATTTTATGTATATAATAGTCTGTTATAGTATTCGGCAAGGGTGGGTTGACTACAAAATTTTTGTAGTTCGCTATAACTACAGCTACTTCAAAAATATGTAGTCAGCTACAACTACTGCTACTTTTGAACAAAGGTAGTTCGCTACTGACTACAGCTACTGCTTAAAAAATGTAGCGAACTATTTCGCTATTTCGCTACGCCTACGCTATATTTTTTAGTTTTACTGTATTTGGAGCATCTATACTAACTCAGACTGTAATGTAACCTATAACAAATAGACTTACGAGTAGCAACAGTAAACACAAAGCAACATTTTTGTAATCACTACAGTGCTCAGGAGTGCAAATTGACTATTGAGTATCGATTTTAAGCAAACCGTATCTCAATATCATGCTATTCTATCAAGTTGTTAACAATTTTTAAAAGTAGCGAATAGCGATTTGCTGTTTGAAAAGTAGTCAACTACTTGGCTACTTTTAGGCAAAATGTAGTTCGCTATAACTACAGCTACTGTTTTAAAAATGTAGTCAAAAACTACTGGCTACTTAATGAAAATTGTAGTTCGCTACAGTAGCGAACTACAACTACTTCGCTATTACCCACTCTTGGTATTCGGATGCAAGTAAATAAGATTGGTGTGGGTTAATTTTCTTTCCCTGTTTTCCTCACTGTCCGCATTTCGTCATCCGTTGCTACCAAACGCTATCTGCTGCTTGGCATTTCGCCATCCGCTGTTACCTAGCTCTGAACCGGCAAGTAGAAATTGGCAGACTATATTTAAATATAAAATAGATCTAGAAGTGTCACATAGGGGAAGTTACCGTTAGTAAAGGTTTTGTCTTCGCAAGCATTCCCACGCACTGTAGCAAAAAAGGTTTGGATCAAAAAGTGTAGGTAGGAGGGAAATTCAAAGGGGAAGTTCACACCGAAAGTAGGTTTCGCAGTGCTGTTCTTTATTGTAAGCTTGATGGCTCTGAGTTAAGCTTGATTACGTCATGCCGGGTCGGACTACACACACAAAAATCTCACATCTCGGTAGCAAGTGTGCCAAGAAGCTGTGAACATGTTGTGTTCGCACTGCTTGTCCCAAGTTGTCAAAAAGTTTGGAAGAACTTGTTAACAAGCTTGATGTCATTATCAGATTTGTTGCAAGGTTGCTCCAACAAGCCCGATCACAGTCATGAAATAACAGTATTGTTACGACCTTGTTGATAAATATGTTATCGATCTTTGGAGTTACACTTGTTTTGTATTTTGTTACAACTAGTTGTGTGTCGTCAACCTTGTAACATTCTTGTTCTATCGTGACTGTATCAAACTTGCTAGAACAACCTTGTACCAAGTTACAAGCCTTGCTACAAGCTGTTAAGGGCTTGTTCCAGCGGTTAGCAGCTTGTTGCAAACTTGTTACAACAACTGGGAACAAGCAGTGCGAACACAACTTGTCGACAGCTTGTGAACAGATTTGTAACAACTTGTTTGCAGACTTGTAACAACTTGTGCGTTTCTACGCGTGCACGTATGAATGTGTTGTGTACACGTGTTATTGTAGAGGGCGGATCAAAACAGGATGGGAGTGCACAAGAGCATGTCGGTCACGCGATCTGTGTTAAGCCTGGTTTCCGTATATGGTCGTATATAAAAATAGAGTCACGATCTTTCTCGAAGGCCAGTTTAGAATAGTTTATACCTGTAAACCCATATAAATCATAAGTATTCTCCAGTTCTAATCCCTCCGCCTATTTTCAGTTCTAAAATGTTGTGTTTCGGCTGATGAGAAAGATCGTGATTCAATCTTTACGACCGTATGGAAACTAGGCCTCAGCTGTTCTTAATGCTTTCCCAACACACTATATGTATTCTATTTGAGTTAAAACGTAACTGCAACATTCATCAAAGCTTTGGTTTCTTAATCTAGCGCTTGAAATGTCCTCTGTGGTACTGACGTGACTGCCAGCTATCATTCTAGGCCGGCGTGGGCATTACCAGACTATCGCCTGTATTCTAAAAGCTCACTCACACTCAAAGAGTGGAGGTTCAATCTGAGCTTCCCTTGAGTGTCAGTGCTGTTTTTGAATAGCTGGAGGGTTAGTGTCGTAACTTACTATGTGACTACTCATCCTCTAGCTATTCAAAAACAGCATTGACACTCAAGGGAAGCTCAGATTGAACCTCCACTCATTGAGTGTGAGTGAGCTTTAGAATACAGGTCGGCGTATATGTCTAAAGTGATTCTGAATCTTAAAACTGAACTGACTTTATTTATTTATGCTGGATAGCTCTATCAGTTTTAAACTGTTCTTCCTAGATATCCAGTAAGGATCATCTCTTATTGATCCAGTGTTACTACAGGAGAAAACCTAAACTAAACTAACTTTATTTATACTGGATAGCTCTATCAGTTCTTAACTGTTCTCTCTAGAGGTTCAGTAAGGATCATCTCTTATTGATCCAGTGTTACTACAGGAGGAAAACTAAACTAAACTAACTTTATTTATACTGGATAACTCTATCAGTTCTAAACTGTTCTTCCTAGAGGTACGGTGCAGTAAGGATCATCTCTTACTGATTCAGTGTTACTACAGGAGGAAACCTAAACTAAACTAAACTAACATTTATACTGCACGATAGCTCTATCAGTTCGAAACTGTTCTCCCTAGAGGTCCAGTATAAGTCATCTCAATTTCCTGACACTATGGATATATTATGGAAATAGTATGGACATACTATGGATTTAGCGATGCAATTGCGAATTCCATAGCATGGATTTCACTATTTTTTCAGTGTAGCAAACACTCGTAAGTCGTAACGATTGGATAACAAAATGATAACAAGCGAATGAACCAAGAAATATTTTACTCCATATAAAAGTGCAGATATTACAAATGTATGAAAGGTTACAACAATGTATTTTAATGGTTGACAGGGCAGTGTAACAATATAATATTTAGCATTTAATAAAACTGACACTTCACAAAAAGTCATACGAAATCATAGTATGTGCCGGCTGCGATTTATCGGATGAGTTCGGGTTCTGCTCAGTCTTACGCCTGTATTCTAAAAGCACACTCACACTCAAAGAGTGAAGATTCAATCCGAGCTTGCCTTGAACAGCTGGAGAGTGAGTAGTCACATAGTAAGGTACGACATGCACTAACCCTCCAGGTATTCAAAAACAGTATTGACACTCGAGAGAAGCTCAGATTGAACCTTCACTCTTTCAGTGCGAGTGAGCTTTTAGAATACGGGCGTTAGTCTGTGAAAGATACGATGGTCTAGAAGCCTGGCAGAATTCAAAGAGACAAAATAGAAGGCCTTTGTTTCCCAGTTAGCAAAACATGAATTTGATAGGAAGCAACGAAAATACAATATTGGAGTAAAACGTCTGAAAAGTTAAGAGTTTGCCAAGAATTCCGGTAAAATTTAATGACAAAGAAAATTCTGTTTTATACGCAGGGGAAATGACTGGGCAAAATTTCACAAACACCCCCGAATAAAATAGTGCAAGCGCCGCCCTTGGTTGAACTGTACCTCACCCTACATAAATCCTTTGTCTCAATTTCATTAAATATTATTCATCGTGATTTTGACTAGACTAAATTTTGATCAAGGAAAGAAGAACGAAATCCTACACCACAGCTAGAAAGAGCGTCTTAGAATGAGTAAAACTGCAAAGATTGTTTGCTAAATGTTGTAAAATGAAGAAAATGTAACCCTTGTGAAGTTCGCAAATTTTGTATATATTTGTATTACGCGCGGTAAAAATAACCACTTTCAAAAATAATTCTTTTTCCCGCGCGTAATGCAAATATGTACAAAATTTGCGAACTTCACAGGGCTATATTTTACTCATTGTACAACATTTAGCAACCAAACTTTGCAATTTTACTCATTTTAAGATGCTCTTTCCGGATATGGTCATTACCAATGGTAATGGATTCGTTCTTCTTGTTTAGATCAAAATTTCATCCATAGCTGAAATCATTCATTGACATTATTTTACTATTATTTTATGTTTTTCAACCTCAACCTCCAGATACATTTAAAAAGCCAGCTAACTGTATAAACTAGAGAATAAAGCTAAACCAAAACAATTTTGAAAGGTACGCCAAAAAGATTTTAGGTTTTGAACACTTTTCATCGCAGGTACGCGCTGAAAAAATTGCCTCTTAAATAAAGACATATTTTTCATTCGGTGTAGGACTGTTCGGTATACCGATATACCGAAAATATCGGTATTAAATCAATATCGGTGTATATCGATACCGGATATTCAACCGTACCGATATACCGAAATTTCGGATATACCGGAATTTTTCGGTATACCGTGTTAAATTTACCAACTACCGTATTTACTCGTTCGAGCGCCGCGGCGCTCTTTAAATTTTTAGAGATTCAGATGCGGCGCTCATTCGGGGGCGGCGCTCAATCGGGGGCGGCGCTCTTTAAAAAATATTTTATTTGTGAATTATAACAAGAACTTTTGACAATAAAATAAACAAGTTTTAAATGTCTTGGTCACTAAATGTCCCCATTTTGATGGCGGAAAGCTTTTACACTGTCTACAAGTTTACAAAATATCAATGTCACTGTCCTCTTCATGATCCGAGTCCAGCTGCTGCATCGTAACCATTGTTGGATATGCCTCCTCGACTTCAGAAGACGTAAATTCGTCGCATTGAAAGGATCCGATTAAGCGCCGCATTTGAAAACAATTAGTGCGGCGCTCATTCGGGGGCGGCGCTCTTTAAGAAAATTTGATCTCAAATGCGGCGCTCATTCGGGGGCGGCGCTCAATCGGG